AACATAAATCACAATAATTAATTATCACATAGGACTTTTTTCTATACCGTTATCATGTATAATTTAGAATGGTCCATCAGAACGATTCATTGAAAAATATGTCATTCTGAGCATTCGATCTGAGTCTTCAATGGACATCAGAGACTCAAATTGGTGTGTCGTCACGCCCTTCACAGGACATATATGGGTGAGGATTTGTTTTCTCTTTTGCCTAACGTTCTCCATTAAAATCCTCACAATGTGCAAAATAAATTGCTTACTTAGGCTTAATTTATGTTCGCTTTGAATGCAGTTATTGCACAATGGAAGCTTTTATTAACCTCACATTTAAAAATAGGTTGAGTGAAAGAACAGGAGTAGATTGTGACGCGTTTAAACACGTTTTCCATGCTTGAAAAATAAATAATTTCATTCGAATTTTAACTCCTGTAGCAGTTCAGACGTTTTTCTAGCGAGAAGAGTCTACGACATTAGGAGAGAAGTTTGACGTACGAGAAATAAGTGCATATTATTGATGATGCCGTCGGTGGGATTCGAACTTGGTACCTATGAATAGAAAGACAAATTACAAAGCAAGTTACTTGCCCACTCAGCCACATGAGCTTGCAACTTGCATTGTTACTTGTCAATACGTATACATTACATGGACGAAGACAAGTAGGACTTATGAGAAGCTGCTGTAATTAGGCATGCACTAGTTAAAAACACCAGTTGGGGCTTCCACGAAAATTGTTATAAATCGCCTATAAAGAACTATTCAGGGTGGTAGAACAGAGGCCGTAGAATACGGTTGGTCTATTTCTCATGGTTTGGCCGTCAATTGAGCGATATATTCTTATATTTGCTTCTCATTCGATGCCAGTACGATGGAAGAGGTGGACATTGCATATTGCACCTATCAATCTTTCTCTAGTTTGGACTCCAATTTTCTATACAGTTATGATTATTATTAGTCCTAACTGTTCTATTATATAAACGGCATTTTTATTCAATTGATATTCCTTGAAAATCATTTCAAGAATTCGATATGATCCGAATTGACAACCATTTCAACAACGAATTTTTTAAATCAATTTCGTAAAAGAAAACATTTTTTTCCCAACATTATATACAATGTTGAAACGAGATATCATTGCTTAAGAACATACAGAAACAATGCTTTATCTAGAGAAATTACCTCCGGGAGAATGGGTTTCGAGCGTTTCTCCGACGATTCGTGGTCATCGCTATGCGAGATGTGTGTTGATCTTTCTGAGAATTCTGAAATGATTCTCTCGGAGTTCCAGAATGTTGTTTTGGAAGAGAAAATCTGGATAGAAATGAAGTGTGCTAATAGATGAGTTTATAGAGAAAAGATCTGTAGAACAAACAACGATGTATTTGATCGAATCATTTTTGTCGACAATGAAATGATCAAACAGCTTTTCTTGAGAGAATATTGGCGTCGAAATTCATTTCTCGAATGTATCTCATTTATTCATTTAAAAATGAGATCAACAGAACAAATTTATCATTTTCGAGAAAGAATTTTCGATTGTTTTACACGACTGTGAGGGACAATTGTTTGTCAAACAGGATCTGAGGAGTAGAAAATTTGGCAAAAGGTAGCAATGTATTTTCGCTTAGTGCGACAGAAGGCACCAACTTTGGAAAGACTGATTCTCACAAACTCCTGGACTTCTTAGCCGTGGTGGCACGGCTGCAGGGAGAGAGTATGGGTAACCACCTCCCGGGTCACTTAATAAATTTGATTTTGCACTAAGACAGTCATTTCAGATTGCAGGCATTCTAAGTGTTGACTCTCATAATTCTGAGCCTTTTAATGTTACAATGGAAGTATTTTAAATCCCCAAACATGTTGGATCAATTAAGTGCAAACTCGAAAGATATTCGATGTTTCACAGTCAATAGAAAAGTGATTATTGTCAGAATTGATTGGATGAAGTGTAAATGCAAATAGTCGATCATCGAACATATCAGATATTTTGTTGAATGATAAAGTTGTAAGTGATGACAAACGTAGATCAGATAAAACGGTTGCAAGAAGTTTTTTAAATGAGCAGAGTAATTACCGTTGGAAATAATATTAAATGTCGATCAACGATTGATAAACGAAGAAGTAAAGAAATATGAAGACAGGAAAATGGTATTAATCGTTTTAATAACACGGATTGTTGGTGGTCTTCATTCCAAATAAAAGTGAAGTACGTGATTTTGTGATAAATTTTGTCGAGAACAGTTTGGAGAAAGTTACAGTTTTAAGAATTTTGGTTAAAGAAAACAAAGTGCACTAGTACACTTTGCTTGAAATTCCTTTTAAAAACACTGAGTTGAGGTAATTTTAAAAGTTTAGTTAAAGTTGTAAACTATTATTTGGATTACAAAACCAAAGCAATAACATTAACTCAAAACCTAAGCAATAACATTAAAAATTAATATTTTAATTTTAGAGAAAGGTAAGAACTTTATGCACTTTTAGAAAATCTTGAATATTTTTGACGTTTGAACTTGATTCATTGAAATTTTCAAGCTTTGTACGAACAAGATGTCGGAGAAGATCAAGTTAGATTACTGTAACTCGATCCTCATCACGGATCGATTACAGTTAAGAGAAATCAGATACAAATTAGGTCTGCAAGCAGTGTGACTCAGTCGGCTAGTGGGCATACAACGTACTTCAAACATACGGAGTTCGAATTCCGGCAACGGCGGTCGCGTGATAGTCTTGGCCAAGCTCTATGCTTATTGTCTCGGTACCTTTGGACACAGATGCAATGGGGTAACTCGATTTTAGTGCAATTGGACTGGAGAGATGAGAGTTAAAGTTTAAAAAAGAATTAGGTTAGATTCCCGGCAAGAAATTATTTGAGTGATTTTTTAATATTTACTGTCATAAGTGTATTTGCGAAAGTAGAGGCTTCCAGCTCAACCTGTTTTTGAAGCTCACCTTCGACAAAAGTAATTTATACAGGATGGGGTAAGAGCCAAATCCATCTTCTCTTCATCGAAGACCACTTGGTTCATCCTGACTGTTAAATTAAGCTTTCGAAAGTTCTAACGTAAACTGCATAGTTCTACAGAAATTCGAGTACGTGTGCAATGTTAGAACATTGGAAATCTGCTAAAATAAAGTATTATTTTTATAGCTCAGACAAATGCATGAATCAGACAGATTAAGAGATTTTTTTTCTATCCAAGGGGCTGTCTGAAACTATAAGAGAAACATTTCGGAGTATGCAAATTTTGTAAATGTTACCAGAAGAAAAGGACGAGAATCTTGACTAAAATATGGCAAAACAGGAAAATTTTATTCAAGTTTGAGAATGTAATGAAATACATTCTGTTCTTCATTGCAATGACAAAAGAAAAGAGTGTTTCATACCTCACATTCACGACTTTCTATTCGAAGTCAGCTGTTGGGTTACTTGATTTTGGCGAGTTTGCGCACCTTTTAGAATTTTCTTGCAACTCATTTTCTTCCCACTTTTTGTTCATTGAAAGTTTCCACTTTCGTTAGTTACACGCTTGCATTAGGATCTATTTTCTCATAATTTATAACTGAGAAAAATTGAATTAATCCTTTAATCCATTATCACTACACACAAAAACGATCATAACGGGTGATAATATCCGATGTGGGCATTTCTCCTTTCTATGACCAACGGACTGAATCAGATCAGGGCCAAAAAAGAGTAGACAGTGAGGAGTACTTGCCTTCTGATCTCGGTGCTAATGAAGAAGAGATCATTCCAAATATTGATACAAATGACAAAATAAATCATCCGTTCAAGGAGGTTAAACGCAAACACCAAAAGAGATCAGGTAAAATGTTAAATATTAATACTTCAATGACAACAAATCAGGTTCATTCATAGTTTTAATTCGAAAGATAATTAAAAGAAACCATCTGAACATCCACAAAGATTATTTTTCAATACACTATACAATCAAAATAAAAAATCAGTCAATAATAATCGTGGAAACGATAGATAGACAACGACCAACAAGGACGAAATGAACAGATCACTTGGATTCTCGTTTCCTCCGATAAAATTAGCGTTTGAAAACCAACAAAAATAAAAATGCTGAATGAAATAGCGAAGACAAATCAATCTCTTAGTTTATCATGTGCAAGATATTCTCATTCTCAAGAACACGGCAATGAGCTGTTAATATTTTGCCAATAATTCATCAACGTTTGAGCACCTATGAAACAAATGGCCTCAAAAACTTTGTGGTCTGAAATCAAGTTCCAGTATGTCACTCAATAATAATAAAAGATATTCCGAAAGAATGGGAAATGAACGCTGTCGCTGAATTAATTCGTGAAAGATATCCATCGGTTATAGACGTAAAAAATATTTATTCGGGAAATCACCAAGCAACAAACAGAATTATCCTAATCCTAATTATCAGGAGGAAAACTTTGTAAATATCCTGAACGAGTGGTCCACATTATCCACGCTGACATCCACGCTAACATGGATAAATGGCAAAGCTATAATAAACATTTAAAAACATCAACGAATACCCATTTCAGTACTCTTTTATTCAATATTGCTTGCCTTCTCACACATTTTTATGATCTCATTCGCTATATTAATGAAGTTTCTATAGTGGCTTTTGCTTTAAACGGTATTAGCAGCAATGACGATATAAATTTTCGCTTAGCGAACTATTATAAAACAAAATACACTATTTATTTTCAGACTGGAATAAACAAATTCGGTGGAGTGGCTTTGGCGATAGATATAAATGCAAAACATTAGATAGTAGAAAAATTCACTAACATTGCAAATTTAATTATCATTGATGTCGTCAACATGAATAAAAAATATACCATAGCTATATTTTATTCTTTGCCAAATGAAACGGTTCGGAACCGACTTAATCGAGCAAATTTATTGATACAATAAAAATTTCTAGAAAATTTTATGTCTAGTTGATCTGTCCATATCAGTGGCATATTGGGAAGACTAATACTCCATTTGTGCGATTATTTTATCAGTAGCTCTTCTGAAACCGCTATAGGAGTTAAAGGTTAAGCTCGTTTATATTTGCGTCAATATGTGTATAGCTTACTGAGAAAGACACATATTGTATACAGAGTGGTGTTTTTCAGGGAATTTGCGATATGCTTATAACTCCACGAAAATTTATTAAAAAGTTCTGTTAGTCGTCTCATTTTGACAACATACTTTCTTCTATCAAGGTATATATAAGCAAAATTTTGAATGTATGCGAAAGGGGAGAAAAATTTACGAAAATAAAAAATTAAGATTTCCAGGCTTTGCAGGAAAAAATCAAAAACTTCATAATTTTTCAAGGAACGTCGTGGAGTGCATATTGAACAATATAGAAGACGTGAAAATATACGTATAGAATAGCTGAATTGCAGCAACTCTGACATCCCTCGTAAAAAATAAAAGAATACAGAAAAAATACTGCAATACTTCGACCTTGATCAGTTTTTAACCTAAAAGAGTTTTCCAAATTTAGCTCTTCATATCCTGGAAGAAATTTCATACCGTCATTGGACGCTGTGCCTTCCATTGTTTCGGGTTCGTTTTCCAGTTCTTCATCAGGAAAATTATCGTTTACAGCTTCAGCATCTTCTTCATCAAGTGACGATTGTTGTTGTTCCCCCGGATCTTCTTCGGACGATAAATAATCGCTGTGGAACTTATACCAATGGCATTGAAAACTTTTGACGGAACAACAATCAGTATTACATACACCACACATAATTGTAACTTTTTTATCCATAGCATGTATCTATTTGAAATACTCCACATGCTTTGTCAGAGTCCTGTTATCAATATTACACAGAGAGCAGTACCACTTCATTCTGTATGCAATATTCGAACACACAAAATATATACAGCAAAACGATAGCGGTGTATTATGAGAACAACAACCTACCTGGCAAAAAAGCTCCAGTTGGTTTTTGAATAACTTTCGATAAAGAATGAATAAGAAAAGAAAGAATAAAGCATACATAGAAGCAAAACCGATTCCAATAATATCACAAAAACTGATAAAATACTTTTGTCTCTATGTATGTTGTGTTTCTCATTCATTCCGTCCGATGATGATGTGTGTAACACATCGAAAGCCAGCAGTTCCATATAGATTTTGAAAAAATATAACGAATAAATATTTATTTCGGAGCTCTATACTATTTTTATTCATGTTTAGAAAACGGAAATCTAAAAAATTCCTGAGGTAGCTAATTACTAGCAGTCTTCTCAGGGGGAATTATCGCTCGTGCGTATCTTACCGTGGATGTGACATTCAATGATGTTAAAGGTATGCCGAACTCGTAAGAGAGGAAAGTTGTTATTAATTATATTTTCTGCTTCTATCCAAAGGATACGTTCAAGTCGTTGAT